TTCAGCTGAGAACTCCGGTGGATCAATTACGCGAGGCTAATCCTGAACTTGCTGACCGACTAATGCAAGTATCCCAGTTACTAGATCGTGGATCTCTTCAACCTGGCTTCCCCGATAGAACGGTTTTGGATACGGAAGCAGAAGGGCGGAAACATCGAGCATTGACGGCAGAATGGGAATCCATCATCAAACAAGTCCGGTCACTTCCCAGTTTCGACAATTTTCTGCGTTCACCAAGCTTCTCCCAGCTCACAAATGCAGCTCGAAACGGTCCAGTTGTCATTTTTAACCTAGTTGACACACGGTGCGATGCCCTCGCTCTCTTACCCGAACTTGAGGATGTTATCCATATTCCTCTCCCCAATATCACTTCCAACAGAGTCACCGAGCTTCGAGATGAGCTGAAGGACCACCTATACTCGAGTGGGATTCGAATGCGGGACACGCGGGCGGCCATGAAATTCATAGACGAAACCGACGACGAGAACTGTAGGCAAGTTCTTGCAGAAATCTGGAGTAATTTGGTCAAGCCCGTTTTAGACTCATTGGCGTTCTCGGTAACGGATATTCATTTATATGCATTTCATTCTACTGATAACGCTCGCAGCCTCATCCAGATGTGCTTCCACGGATATGGTGGTGTGCCACCGGACCACTCGCTTTCCTCCCGATCCATGCAGCCGGCATATATGATCCGGAATCGGGCGATTCACAGCTCAGCAACTACGTTATATCATCATATACACCTACACTATCCATGCTACTCGAACAATCCGAACCGCCCACCATCTCGCCCTTCAAACTCTTGTCGGTCATCCAATCCTCAGTACCTGGCGCATCATCTCTTCCCAATACCAAACAAGAATTGGAATTCATCCGACAACGCCTTGCCGGTCGTGATCATATCGTGCTCGAAGGCGAGGCAGGTACAAAGAGACAGGTGATGAAAGGGATGAAAGAATGCAACTGGCTTCATTTGGCATGTCATGGGATACAAGAGCCAGATGAACCAACGAAGAGTGCGCTTCTTCTCCAAGACGGCCATCTTACACTCGAGGAAATCATAAAACTCGAACTTCCTCGAGCCGAATTTTCGTTCTTATCCGCTTGTCAAACGACATCAGGAGACGAAAATCTGTCGGAAGAAGCCGTTCATATCGCAGGTGGGATGCTCTTGGCTGGATATCGGAGTGTGGTAGCGACAATGTGGTCTATCCAGGATGACCTTGCGCCTATGGTGACGGACGAGTTCTATAGGCATGTGATGGAAGAAGGAAAGCGACCCGACTCTAGGAGGGCGGCGGAGGCATTACATCTAGCGGTCCAAAAGCTTCGCCAACGGCCAGGCGTCCAGCTTACGGACTGGATTCCTTTCGTTCATC